GTCTTATATCTTTGGATTGTGTCGAAATTTACCTGAATTTCCAACACAGTCAGGATCAGTATTCCATAAAGATTGTATCTTTATGAAATACTAAAAGTGTCAGTCACTTTAACTGTGAGGATCATGGCCCCCTTTGGAGATATTGCTATGACAGATTACACTTTTTCTAAGCAATAGCAATTCATACCAGCAGTGGGTGCTGTGAGAGACTGAAATTGGTTTGCTGACACTCACTGCCAATCACCGCTACCCTTTGCTGCATCCTCATTAGTCCAAAGCAGCACAAAAGGCATGGGCTGCTAGGGACGTATTTATCATTGACAAATTAACAATGAACAGAAGGACAGTGCCAGGAGGCTACATACACTATAAGCACTTCAGTGAGATGAAGCGGTTATACTGTCTACAGTGGCCATTTAAATATACATGAGACACTTTATATGATCTATTTGTGTTTTTTTTTTATAAAGCTTTTGTCTGCTCAGAGTTCATATTATCTGTTTTTGTTGCAATGCATTAATTTGACTCTCCACAAGTTAAAAGGGTAATCCAGATGTAGACAACGTGCTCACTGTGCCTAGAAGTGTATAAGCTATGCCATGCTGATGAGGCCCAAAGAAGGCCAAAATGAACATTTAAAGTTGCTTTATCTCTTGTGCAGAGAAAACTTGGCCACATTTCTGTTCTGGTCTGCCCTTATGGGTAGGATCAGTCTGATATGCCTTGGAAAAGGTTCACTCTGTAAATGTCACGGGGGTCGTACCCCAACTTTCAGGATGGGTAATCCCACAGAGGTACTAGATAGGCGTATTACTGGGCCTTAGACTGGCCGGACTTAACACAAGAACAATAAAGACAAAGTCAGTAATAGCCACAGTCAGGAATATAGAAATACGGATAAACAAAATAAGAAGCCAGGTCCGAATACCAGAAATACTCAAGGTCAGAAACAAGCCAAATCAGCATAACAGAATTACATTAAATCAAATACAATAAAACACTGTTTTTTTTGTTAGAGTAACCATTTCTAAAGTAGTCTGTGGAAGGATCTTACCTGGAGGTGAGAGTCCGAAGTGGTAAGTTAAGCAAACCCTTGCAGTTTAACACAAACCAAGGAGACTCTAGGAAGAAATCTCCAAGGTTGTGAAACAATGCACTGGGGCTTTACAGGAAAAGTACTCCTGGATACGCAAAACAGACAAGGGAACTCCAATAGAGTACTCAGGTACAGTTCCAATGGTCAGGGCAGGCGGAAATCAGGCAAATACTATAAAACAGTCTTGAATGTCAAAGCATATGTCAGTTAAACAAAACAAAACAAAAAAATAATTATATATATATATATATATAAAAATATAAAAAACAAACTTTAAAATTCACCTCCATCACAGAGTCTAAATTCCCCCGAAGCCTGATTATCTTTGTCTGATGTCAATCTCCCTTGCCAGAGATGGAGGAAGTCCACACAGGTGGAAATTTTGCACATGATTGACGTAAGTCAGCCCAGAACACACACAATTTTGTAATGGCACTGCTGGAGTTGGAGTTACACCTCTGACAGCTAATCTATTAATCTCTGTATGTGCGGTGTTTCAAAGCAAAATTCTGCACACACAGGTTCCAGGCAGCATGACCACTTAAGCCACTGAAAATATTGTGGTGCTTGAAGTAACCCTTTAACAGTAAAACATAGGGATGGCACCCAGGCACCACTTCAATGAGAATAATAATGATGCCTAGAATGTTTTTAATTTCTGAAAGTGGCTTAATTAGTTAAGCGATTTGAAAAAAATTGCTGCAGCTTTAAGACAATTCATCCGAAAGGTAGTCTGAACTCTTTGGGCTAGCTGCATCAGTTTTATCCAGCTTTTGTGTGTGGTGTCTGCGTGGTGCACACACAAAAATGATACAACTAATAGAGGTGCAGCACCAAACAAAATAAGAAGGAAAATGTTTTCCACCACATTAAACTCAGCAACATTTCGACACAAATGCAGGGTCTTTGTCAAGCTTGAGTTTCTACAAACACAACAGAGTTATTCACAAAAGTTAGAATTCAAAGTATCACTATAGTGTCAGGGACACAAACCTGTATTCCTGACCCTATAGTGCTAAACCCAACATTTAGATGGCTTGCTCCCCTGCCCCCCCCTCCCCCCCCCCTTAAAAGTTTAAAACTCAAGGCATTGGATTGGCTAAAATTGGCACGGGGCGGGTCCAAATGTAATTTTGGCCAGTCAGGACCTCCTCAGAAATGTATTGCATCAATGCATCTCTATGAGGAAAATTCAGCGTCTTCATGCAGAGCATGGGGATGCTGAACGGCAGGACTGCTTACTGTGCAGCCCTGAGCCTGGAAGCTACTCCAGCGGCCATCTAAGGAGTGGCCACTTGGAGGTGTCCCTAGGAGCAATGTAAATACTGCCTTTTCCCTGAAATGGCTGAAGGGAGCTATTATACTCTACAGAACAACTACATTAAGCTGTAGTTGTTCTGGTGACTATAGTGTCCCTTTAATGACAAACAAATGAATCTGAAAACTTCTCTAAGTCAGGTATGCCTACAGTCGGACTATGTAGGCCTAAATGTGAGCTTTCAGCTCTCACTTTACTTAACTTAAAGGACCACTCTAGGCACCCAGACCACTTCAGCTTAATGAAGTGGTCTGGGTGCTAGGTCCTTCTAGGGTTAACCCATTTTTTCATAATTATAGCAGTTTCAGAGAAACTGCTATAATTATGAATGGGTTAAGCCTTCCCCCTAATCCTCTAGTGGCTGTCTCATTGACAGCCACTAGAGGCGCTTGCGTGCTTCTCACTGTGATTTTCACAGTGAGAGCACGCAAGCGTCCATAGGAAAGCATTGCAAATGCTTTCCTATGCGACGGGCTGAATGCGCGCGCAGCTCTTGCCGCGCGTGCGCATTCAGCCCAGGAGGAGGAACGGAGGAGGAGAGAAGGAGGAGAGCTCCCCGCCCAGCGCTGGAAAAAGGTAAGTTTAACCCCTTTTCCCCTTTCCAGAGCCGGGCGGGAGGGGGTCCCTGAGGGTGGGGGCACCCTCAGGGCACTCTAGTGCCAGGAAAACGAGTATGGCACTTATCATAGGTGTGCCCACAGGGTGTGTCTGGTGTGCCTGGGCACACCCTAATGCAGCCAGAGTGCTGGCTGCTGAAGATGCATTCAGGAAGATCAAAAGGTCTCCCTGACTGACGCTGTGTCCCCCCGCCCTCCCCCAGAAGCCACTGTCCACAGCCATATGCCAGCCCCTGATGCATTAGAGCAGTGCCATGGGTTACCGCGGCATGCTCGGATACATGTACCAGAACCATCCGGAAAGAATTTTCTGCACCCAGTGGGGGTGGAGACATACTGCCTATTTCCCACTGGATCACCAGGGAAAAGGATTTGGGCTGTGTATGGGGGCTGCTTGTGGAATTGTGTGTGGATGGATATGTCACATTGTGTATTTGGTAGTGTGTGTATGTTTCAGGCTGTTTGGGGTATTGCATGTGAGAGGCTGCATGTGGGGTTGTGTGCATGTATGTGGATTGTTGGTGGTGTTGTGTTTGTGTGGACTGTGTGTGTGTTTGTATTATTTGTATGAGGGGGGAGGGGTTATTCTGTAGCTCCGAGGCTTCCCTGGGTTTTCGTGGGGTCCAGGCTGGCCAGGTACAGCTCAAGGACAAAAGCTGCAACAGGAAGCTGTGGGCTGCTCTACTCCAGTGTGGATTCCCATTCACAAGTGCTGGGAGGAAGTGATCTGAGATCACTTTCTCTAGGTGCTGCAATGCATAAATGGAGGATTGTCCTTCATCACCTTTTCATATTAGCAGATTTCTGACGTTTAACTGGGACTCCTGACAGGCCAGAGCCTGTATGGTTCTTGTAGCCTTGCGGGCCGTGCAAAGGCACCTTGAGTGCCGTGCATGGCACTAGTGCCGCAGGTTGCCTATCCCTGTCCTAGTGCATAGAGGGGCTGTCAAGCTAGGCAGCATGCCCACTTTCTGGGTGTGTCCATCACATTTCAGTGCAGGGCTTCCTGTCATTGACAAACCTTTGTTGGAAGGTGTGAATATGACCAATATACGTTATTAAAGTAGTGTCACTGAAATGAGATAAAATACATATCCCATAAATCCTGCTGGACTATAAGATAATATCAACACCCAATACACCAGAATGAGAAGTTCCTGATTGGTGCAGGCTTTTCCTGGGGAGGGAGGGTTCTCTTTGATACTAAAACATGTCTTGATATCAAACCACAGTAGAATCTTTAAATTTGTATTCTTTTCCTTTGCATATATTTTTACAGATATATTATCTATACTTATACTGTATAGAATGTTAAACTGTCCAAACACTTGGAATTGTTGAAAACAGAAAATTAAATTGTAAATTTCAGAAAAAAAATGAGCTGATTAGATATATATTTAATTTTGTTAGGAACACAATTAACATTTAGTAGAATAAGATGAAAATACAAGCAAACTTCATATCAGTTTACTTTACCTCTACAGATACAATTGGATTGTATATATAGTAGGCAAATCTAAAAACCAAAATTATAATTTAAAAAATGAATTCAGGGTTAACCTGTTATATGGGCTAACTCTATATCTATCTATATGTTATAACTCATTATATGTCCAGACAACTGATATGATATCCCCATTGCTCCCTGATGGATTCGTTGTAATGTTCCAATAATGCATCAGTAAATTGCTAGCCCTGCTTCTGGAGCTCAGGTTATAAATAATCTCTCCACTGAACAAATCCTCACACACTGACCTAATACTTTCCAGCCAGGCATCTGACTCACAGTCTGGTATTCCATTCCAGGAGTAGAACTCCAGGTTTTCTCTCTAGCCTTCATTGACATGACATATGATAGGCATCGAATCAAACCAATCAGAAGACGCAAAGCGTCAATTCAGTGTTCGTTGCAAGTTACCCACCAATCAGCACGGCAGAGGGCGTGTCTTTCATGGAATAAACTCCCTACCACCAATAGCAAAGAAGCTTGGCTTGTCACTCTGCATGGCGGAACCGAGACTCCATGTTGGATGTGGCACAAACGTCGTTATTTTTACACCGTGTTCGTCGAAGTTTAGGTACTTTACGTCACTCTTTCGACGTCTTTTGAACGGGATCCAGTTCCTCATGCGCTTCTCGTTGGAGGCAAATGTCGCAATCCTACTTTCCGACGACAGATGCATGGCTATTTAGTGGAATGCGCGGCTAAAACCGACCGGGCGCCATCTTGGATGTGGCAGATAATGCTTGCCTTGGAACGAAGCCAAAACCCCTCGCGAGTTTAAAAATAAATAAAATGATTATTAAATGTATTAAACAGTGATTAACGTGTAAGAGGGACAAAGCATAACACATCTCAGGCTCACTTACAGCCACTGGTTTAATAGGGTTTAATTGTCAATAATAATAAGGGGGAGGGTGACACGAGGAGGCGGTGTGGGTATAAATAGAGAGAATGACGTTTATCGGCGTATTTATTGTCTTTGTACTACAACTAACGTTATTGGAAATATATATATATATTATTTATTTTCAAACTAGCATATTATAAATTTTAATATAATTATATTTTTTAATCTGTGGACACAATAATAATGGGTTATTAACCACAATTAAATTCCAATAAATATAATATCATTAACTATTTATACGGCCAGCTCATTAGCACGGCTTTATTTATAATATTTTTCTACTTTTAAAGTATTATTCACTGATGGGGTTAACATGCTATCCGATACGCCGAGAATCGGCTGGTTAACCCTTTACGGGGCGCTATCCGCCCTCCCACACGCTGCCTGCCGATGTCAGGGCTGGTTAACCTCTTCGGTGACTGCGGGGGCCGCTGCGCGGCTTGTTAGCAATGCCGAGGCATACTCGGACTGATTTACCCTTTCAGTGCTTCTGGTAAACAATAAACCCTGTAATAAATTATCTTTCTTCTAGCCGACTGCCATCACCTTTAATCCAAGAGGTAGAAGTCTATGATTAAACCCTATCCCACGGTATAAGTATGTGATTTAACCCTATCCCACGGTATAAGTGTTTGAATTAACCCTACCCCACGGTATAAGTATGTGATTTAACCCTATCCCACGGTATAAGTGTTTGAATTAACCCTACCCCACGGTATAAGTGTTTGAATTAACCCTACCCCACGGTATAAGTGTTTGAATTAACCCTACCCCACGGTATAAGTGTTTGAATTAACCCTATCTCACGGTATAAGTGTTTGAATTAACTCTATCTCACGGTATAAGTGTTTGAATTAACCCTACCCCACGGTATAAGTATGTGATTTCACCCTATCTCACGGTATAAGTGTTTGAAATAACCCTATCTCACGGTATAAGTATGTGATTTAACCCTATCCCACGGTATAAGTATTTAATTTTACCCTATCTCACGGTATAAGTGTTTGAACTAACCTTATCTCACTTTATATGTATCTAATTTTACCCTATCTCACGGTATAAGTATATGAATTAACCCTATCCTATGGTGTATGTTTTAACCCTGTCTCACGGGTTAAGTGTAATGTTTTAACCCTCTCACGATGAGTTTGAATTAACCATATCCCGCGGGGTAAGTTATCGATTTAACCCTTTTTCTCGATAGAAGTGTTGTTTTAACCCTACCTCACGGTGTAAATTTTTGGATTACCCATATCTAACGGTGTAAATTTTTGGATTACCCATATCTCACGGTATGGGCGCGTGATTTAACCCTATCCCACCCAGATCGAAGATACAGTATTATTCAGAGGCTTTCAGCATTTTCGAGTTGTTTTTGGTCATCTTTGGCTCTGTATTTACGGGATCAACCCGTTGGGACCCACACAGAGTGTTGATGAAACATAGTCTATGGACATCGGCAGTATATATGGGATGTCGGTTAAATCGGTCATTTGTCAACGCTAACGCATTTGTAACACATCTCGGATTGCCGAAGCCCGTGCACTTGGCTGCGGAACAGAGCGTGAGGAGCAGCCTACTGGCGTAACTCGGTACTGCACGGACTGCTGGTTCGGCAGCGAATGGGTGAGCGAGAGGGTGGTTGCTGTCGGGGGAGATGACGGCTGTAAAGATGGGGCGGAGGGACCGTCGAATGGAAAATTCCCACTACATTTCCCCGTCTGGTGAATGGTTAAACGTTTGAAAAACTCGATTTTTTTTTTTCAAGCCCTTGTTTCCCTCGCAATCCGCGCCTCGTGTCCCGAACTCGGGGCCATATTTATCAATGTAAAAATAGAACCATTCTAGGGCAAGGTGCGAATTTAGAGTTCGAACGTTCTAATGGTTTCTGTGGTGATTGCTTCGCATTTCTCTAATGCGGACTTGCTTCAGGTTGCCCTAATATAAGACAGGTGATAGTGGCTAATGTAATCACTTAATTTAGGGCAATCCCTATGTTGGGATAAATGTGATGGCAGGTGCTTCTCAGATGTGCCTGTGGTGAACTAAAAAAAAAATGTATCCACATACATATATGGTTTAATTTTTGAACGATGCTTATTGTAGCGCAGCAAGGCTTTTTAGACATATTCCATACTGTCACTTTAAATAGCTGATTATGTTTGACACAGTATGTGAGAGGTTGAGCATTCGAGGCAATTATACATATGCTATATGCATATATACATAAGTGATGCCAGTGTGTGACTATTGCATTTACCTGTTTTCTACTTAATGGTTTCTATGAAACAAACTGACATTTAGTTCCCATGGGACTAATTGTTATGGGCTGGCTTAATTGTACATAGTGTAGAAGGATGGGTCCCTTTGCGACTTTAGGGATGTAGTGGGGGGTCCCCAGGTTTAGCATTTAGAGGAGGAGCGGATCAGCTGGCAATCATGACACCAGCGCTAAACGTGTGTAAAAGGGAGTCCGATTGTGTTATTATTTCCCTAAAACACACATTAACGCGAACACTGCCTGTGAGATTACGCTGGATCTTGGAGGCAAACATGAAACAGCTGAATAAAATCTCTGCTATTACTCTACTAATATTTATCACTCTATGTGTATTGCATTGCATGTCCACGCTGTAATTTACAATGCAATCTGCTTAGAGGGCAATTAAATGCCCTGGCGGTATGTTTCACAATGTAAAGAGGGCAGTTCTTATTCTAGGCAGGTTTTTTTTTTTTTTTAAGTTTTGCACACGCCACCAAACCCTCTTTCCCCCCTCCCTGCTGGAGAGGAGACAGAAAAAGAAAAAAAAAGAAAAAACCGCTCTGTTCATTTGCATTGGACTGCCAAGCGAAGAGCAGCTAATGCAATGACTGGCGCATGCGTGGTGCAGAGATAAGGGGGCGCACCGGCCAAAGAAGGTATTGCAATTTAGCGAGGGAAAGAAAACAAGCCACCCTCCCCCATTGTTTCAGCCGTGGCCAATCATATGGGAGGAATTTCCCTCCCCCCGTTTTGTTGTAGTTCTGACCAATTGTGTAGCGTGAAGCCGGTCTATTGCTCCTCCCACTAATCTATATTAAAGGTACTGGCGCCGCTTGAGTCCTTCACTGGCAGTCACTATTAAAAAAATTTAAAAAAGCCATCTTTGCATTGTTCCCCGCACCAGCCTTTTCTTTCCCCTCTCCCAGTACCAGGGATTTACCTGTAATTTTTTTTTTTTTTTTTATTAAATACAAATAAGTTTCTATTTTTTACATTTAACCATGTCAGAGACAGCTGTGGACGCAAGTGTGGAGAAGACTACCAAGGTAAGGGTGTTTTTTGTGTTGCAAAGAGCATCTTTGCGCGGGCAGCCTGGCAGTGCCTGTCTCCTTTTGTCTGCTAATATTTTGTTGATTATTAGAACTTGACCTCAAGATTCTGTACCTGATGTTTTATCCATCTCAGTGATACTTTTACTTAGTTTCCGTTCTCGGGTGAGACAGTGTGACTGTTCCATTCTATTAGCGGCGATTCTACGGGCTCTGCTTCAAATAGAACCTTGATGGAAGTTTACCTCCTGGATGGATCTGGGTCCCCCAATGGTTTAGTTGTGAGAAGAGTATAGAGTAGCAAAATCCAGTAGTCAGCAAGCAGGTCTGTTAATGATTATGGTAGGTGTCCTGGTTCTTGAGATTAAAGGTATCAGGGGCTTTGCTTAGCGGCTGCTGTTCTTTGTGCAGCTGGATGAGTATTCGCGCCGGTTTGTTACTGGGGGCTCTTGAATCTCTTCTCGGTGAATAATCGAGGTCAATCTATGTCTAATAAGACCCTTTAGGATGGGGTGACAGGGAGTCGTGTTGTTGGAGTGCCCACGCACGCCTTTGGTTTGCAGGGGATACCCCGTATTCGGAGCTGTCTTAGCTAGTGATGTGCTGCTGATGCGGATACACTGTGGTACCTGCTTGTGTCTTTGTATCCACTGTTACTGTGTTGTATCGCGCGATCCTGTCACTAAGCAAGACACCCTGCTGGTTTAACGAGGCTCCGGCTTGACCTGCGATATCTATCGTATCCCACAGTATCTCCTTATGATCTTACTCGTTTACCTGCTCTCTAGAATTAAATGGGGATCAGACATACCTCTATTCCGATAATTTGTTGCCTGGCACTCAACATGGGACCATGTCCCTGCTCTCCTGGCATTGGAAACGAGGTCAGACCGCCCCCCCATCACTCGCTGCTGACTGGCATGATTGACTGTGTTAGATCACCCCAACCCCCTCCCTGATTGGCATTATAGATGTTCATTACATTGTGTATAAAAAGGCCTTTACCTTATGCATTAAGTTCGAGAGCCGCTGTGCGTTAGACAGGACCTAGTCTCTTCATATTGACTCCAGAAGTCAGCCCCCTCTATTCCTTCAATGCAGCCTAGCATGGAGTTGACAGCTCCTCACTCCTGGTATCACTTGCCCTGTAATGATCTAAGCCGGTTTTAGGGAACGTTGTTTGTCCCATTTCACATTGTTGAGGATAGGATGTGCGTATTTAATAGCTCTTAAGCATTACGATTACTGTCAAAACGATTACAATCTCTTCGTTAATTGTATCTTAATGGGAATGCTATATTGAACAAGCTCTCACCTATTATAACGCCCCTACATCGAGCTTTAATTACATTTCGGGATATTAAGTGTCACTGTCAGGTCTCCTCTGTATTCATAAAACAATGTTGATCGCCCTCTCACCTGTCAGTGTCCTTAGATAGCAGAAACCCACCAAAGGTCAGCTAAGCTTCATTCAGATTCCCGTACCAGCCTTTCATATACTGTAATGTGTATCATGTAACCCTGTCCTAGTCTATATACGGACTGGGCGTACTGAAAACACTGTTTTAATAAAGGGGATAGTAGCGGTGTGTGGTTGTAAGGAGGGCTCCCGCTTGTGCGACCTATGAAGCTATTCTGCACCCTGCTTTAATGTGCGATATGATTTTACCAACTTGCTGGGCAGGTTTCTGAATTGGCGAGCCCCCTGCCAATACCGCAGGGGTTCATTAAGAGCCCCCGGCTAGTTCTGCAGAGGTTAATAGCGAGCCCCCGGCTGCCGGGAGTTCGGTATGACAGAGGGTGCTCTGCCACTTGTTTGTGCCCTGCAGTTCCCCACCACGTCCGCCGGCTGCAGCCCCGAGGGGAGCCGAGGCTCTATGGGGAGTTTGGGGAGGGGACAGATGGTAACCGGATTAAGGCTTTAAAGACAGAGCCTTTAATTAGGAAGTGGGGGAGGGTTAATTACTGCCTCCACTGATGGCAGTCTACCTGTGGGAGCTAATCGCGCGGTGTGCCCGCCCCGCCGTGTGTGCAGATAGCGGAGGGAGCGCCTCTATCTCCCGCTCACACAATGACAAGGTGACGGACAGCAGCTCACTCCGAGCTCGTCTCCCTCGCTCTCCTTATTGCATGTCGCCACCCCATAACACGAAACCATGCGCGTCACTCGCTAGGAGCTGTCGCGCTGGCCTATGGGAGTTGTAGTCTGCCCGACCTTCTTTCACCGGGCGTGTCTGCTTTGGGGAAAAGGGGAAGTGTACGATGCCTGCTCTACAAATCCCTTGAGCCTCCGCGCGGCACGTGGGCTGGAATACGGCGAAGGCGTCCAATCAGCAACCCGGACAGCTTTATATGGGAGTGGGCGTGTTTGTGTGCTGTGAACTGACCAACGGGAGGCCGATATAATTGGCGCCAGATTTAAAATAGTTTCTGAAGCGTGCCTCTTCCAGACACTTATTTGTTTTTAATTAGTGACAGATGTTCTATGTATCTGCTCTGATTTGTGTGTGTGTTTGCGTATAAATAAAAAGCTTTTGCAGAGCAGCTAATGTTTAAACTGTGAATAAAAGTGCAGGATATCTTAATATTTTCCAGTCTCTACACCTTTTATTAATAGTTTAAAGCAATTATATGCTAAACTAGACATTAACTGGGTTATTAATTGATGGCATAATGTTTAAGATTTGAATTATTAAATTTGAAAAAAGTTATTAATTTAAAATAGTTATTAATCATGTATTTAATTACTCAGACACCTGCTATTGTGGAGTCTGTCTCCACAAATTACCAAGTTGTTTATGTAGCAAACATTCCTGTGTTTATATCCATTTGGCACATGTAATAATAAAAAAATTAAAGTGTACTAAATTACCCACGTGTATAAGCCAATGTTTTATGGCTTGATAATATATTCATGTTTTTTGTTAGCACATGCCATATTACTCAGTGAAGTGTAAAAAACTATTTTATCATTAACCAATTGGCCTTTATCTTTGGTTGTAGTTGCCTCCCAGTTAGATAACGATACTATTACCTTTCAGTAGCACTAAAATGCACATACACAAGATTAAATAAACTGATCGACTGCTGACCAAAGCATATTATTACATATATACACACGCACATTAACCTTTAAGTTGCTTAAACTGGAAAGCTGCTCTTGGGTTTCTTAATTGATAAATACAGGACATACTTAAAAATTGGAGAAATCTCAATGTATCTTTCCTTGTAAAATATTTTATAAATAATATATTTTTTTTCATGTCAAATGGTTTTCTGAACTGAACAGTGAAGTGGCGTCTAATGCTTAAAATTTCAGCTAAATCTGTGTGTGTGTGTGTGTGTGTGTGTGTGTAAAAAAATAAAAAAAATAAATAAATATATATATATATATATATATATATATATATATATATATATATATATATATATATATATATATATATATATATATATATATATATACACACACACTCCTGTCATTTCAGCTAGAATTACTACAGAATACCAACAAATTACCTTCCCTTGGTGTTTATAGTTGGATGTCCATAATTATTTTAAGTGATCACTTCGTAGGCTATTTATAGCATTTAATGATTTGGCAGATTTTTTACTAAATCATTCTTTGACATTGAAACACTATAGAAGGTTGATGTATTTTAGCACTAACATCTGAATCTCACCAAATATATATATATTTTTCTTTCATAAAGGAGTCGAAATCAAAAGACAAGATAGTTTTAGAAGAAACAGAAAATGGAAAGGAGAAGCCAGCCAATGGGAACGCAGTAAGTTTTGTTTAAGCTCTTCTCATATTGTTTGCATTAAATGTGCTCATCTGTGCAGAGAACTCAGAATGTGTTCTGATTATTTGTAAATCACAAGTGCCATCACGGTCATATTAATGTATTGTATTTGGCTCACCCTATCTCTAATTAATGTAACTGGGTTTGACATCTGCGGTGGATTACAGGCCATATGCAAGTGTGAATATGAAATGAATATAACAGATCTGATATACTTTCCTTTCTACCTACTTGGTTAAGATCCCAGGGCACATGGAGTTAAGTGAATTTGGCAGTGTTGATTTGTCTAAATCTGCTTTATAGAACTAAAGGCTTGCCTGTTTTAAAGTGATTCCTATTTCTCAATGTCCTTTTTTGTCTAAATTTGGCTAGTCCCAAACCCTGTATTGTGTGTGTACAGAGTTAATTATAAATTGGCTGTACTGTCATCTCAGCAGTATAATGTAAATTTTGGCATAGTGCTGTTTAACACTGTAAAATACAGTAACAGATTGTATAAGTGTACCTTTACCTTGGAATTGTTAACCTGTATTGTTTGCATCTCCCCATGAACAAATAGCAGGCAGTTGCAGGTGGCTTTGGCCAAATGTAATCTGCTCTCTGATTCAACTGTGAAGATATTGAGAAATCTCACTCGTATATATCAGTCGATTCTGAAATATTCTTTGCCTTGTAGAAAACAAATGTATATTGCTGTTTAAAAGAACAAAGTATGTTGTCAGGAGTTTTTTGTTTTTTGTTTTTTTGCTTGTATGTATTTTTTTTAACAAGTTTTTGCATGCCTAACAAAACTTTTCCTCATCTGCTCTTTTTAGGAAAATGAAGAGAATGGAGAACAAGAGGGTGATAATGAGGAAGATGAAGAAGTTGATGAAGAAGATGAGGAGGATGAAGTAGAAGGTAAAAATGACAAATATATATTTTATCTTAATACGGGCAGCCTTTCTATGTAAGATAATAAACCTGGTCTACATGACCTTTCCTTGGCTTCTCTGGGCTGTCAGCCCATGGAATAGGCAGCCTGTTGCTCTCCATTTTGTAAACTACAACTCACACGACCCTCTCCCAGCCATACTTACAGCAAGAAGGCTGTTGAAAAATCACTGGAGCTGTAGTTCAAAAATAGATGCTTATCCTGCATTGTGGCTGTCTAGATCAAATTAAAAGCCTAATGTTTTGTTTGATTTTTGTCATACATCAGACTGTTCTATTTGCTCCTAAAATGATTGGTAACGCTGGTGGGCAGTGTTACTACAATTCCAGTCCCTTAATCTTAAAATAAATAAATTAAAATCAGTTGCCACTGTGCATATGTGACAGGTTTTCAAGTGGATACATCACTTCTCCAAATACTTTGTGTAAGTAAATAAGCACCTGATTGATCACTCATTGATCTTGTTAAGAGATATTGAAAACATGCCACGTTCGATCTAGCTAAGGTTCCCTGAACCCTGCAAATCATTACAATAAAAGTGAAACCTATCATAAGATGCTGTTGTGTCTGCAGGGGATGATGATGAGGGTGATGAAGATGATGAAGCAGAAGGACCCACAGGAAAAAGAGTGGCAGAAGATGATGAGGTGGGTAACTCAAGTGCAAAAGTATAAGGTCTAGATCTGAAATCATGTTAAGTGTGGAGTGCTATAATTCCATGCTAACTCTGATATGTTACTCTAAAGAAATAGCCAACATAAATGATAAATTGTAAAGGTTCAAAGAATGGGGAAAATTGCAGACACTTGCTAGAACACATTTTTGCACTTCAAAGATTAATAGTATGGAGTTTCATTAATATCACTGATATGATCTGGACTAGCCTAATGTGGGAGCCACAGCCCACGATTTGAGGGCAGGGAAAGTCTGGTGCTTCGTGGTACCAACCATTCTGGATTATGTTTCATACAACGACAGTTATTAAAATAACCAAATAAAATGGAATCTAGGAGTGTAAAAACAAACCATTTTAATGGGTGACAGTTCAGTTAAGAATTAGTCTAATTTTTAATTTCTCTGTATGTCCTTAGGATGATGACGACGTTGAAACAAAGAAGCAGAAAACAGATGAAGATGACTAGAGTGGGGGTGCACCCTCCTCTCTCCAACAATAAAAATAAAAATCTATATATGACCCTTCTCCACCGCCTCCCCACAATCCCCCCATTACTTAAAACAGTCACTGAAAGTGGCTTGTCCGTCCCACCCCTTCATTCAGGCTCCTCTGGCCCCCTCCTCCGTCCGTACACAAGACCACCTCTGAGGTGTCAGTCACTGTGTTATTGGGGCGTTTTTTATTAATTTTTTTCTTTTTTATTTTTTCCCGACTCTGCCCTTTGCCTACTCTCTCTAGCAGAATGAGTTAATCCCCTTCACTGCCAGTGCAGGGTGCAGTCATTTGCTGTCCTCTTCGGTCTTAAATACTAAGGGGTGAATTACTTGTGAGATTCACAGGAAAGGTGGCTATTTTGTCTTTCCTTTTTAATGTACTTAACTGGGAAACAAAAATGCCCTTGGAAAAGGGGTCCTATGTTTGTATTTTTTATTTACATTTTATATTTTTGTACATATTGGTATACAACTGTCCTTTTTTTCTGTACCAGGGATCTGGCTGACAGGGTGTGGGGCTTTTAAATTAAATTTTTCCCCTTTTGGTAAAATTTGTTCCTGTAGATTTCTGCAAATAAAACCTGGATGTATTTTGTTCTTTCTGTGGGAGGGGTGGCAGTGGGAGGGGTTGGAGTTAGACAGGGCTGTCTCTTCTCCAAGGGGAAACAAATGGAGAAATCTTTACAAAAAAAATAATAAAAAGTTGTTACAAAAAAAACCTAAATAAATAAGACAAAATCCCCAATATAAGAGAAATATTCTGATCATTCCAGTAACTTTTTTTTTTTTTTAATTGTTTTATTTGGATTTTTTTTGGAACATATTTTTAGATGTACTTTAGGTGGGTTTGGATGAGAATAATGGCCAAAGATTTAAAAATTTTTTTTTTTTTTTTTTGGTTCTGTCTCTGAAGTTGCTGTTTATTTTGTCATTCCTTGGCCTGGCTGGATGTGTGTGGCAGTATTGTCAATAAAACTGCAATTTTAATTTGCAGGCTTTCCTTTTGTTCTAACAGTGTCTCTGTCTTTGTTTATTGCAAATCGCAGACCATAGAAATCATCATAAAGCACTGCATCTTAAATAGAGCACTTCAACATTGACACTGAAAAATAACTTAAATATATTTACTTCACAGCTTTCTTAAAGTGTAGTTAGTTTAGAAATTAAAGGTGAAAATGACACTGCCCATGTAGCACTATCTATAGTGAAGGATCAAGTCCCTTGTGGTTAGGGCACACAATGGCAAAAAAAATGAACTTTGTTTTACACATTGTATAGAAAAACACAAACCATCCACATTTTCACTTTCCATTTATGAAAGTTGTTATACCATCCACTGCTTTTAGAAGTAGTCGTGGTGGTAGGAGTCTGTATGTGCAGCGTTTTTGTTTGAAACACTGCCCTTACAGTGATATTCTCATTTTTGTGCCGTGGGCTAGCTGCAGCACCAGCACACATGCCTAATGTCCATTCTGTGCAAAAATTTACATTGTCGTCAGTGCGCTGGCAGTAGACGTAAGTAGTTTTGCAAGGGGAAATGTTGCATATCCCCCTTAAAGGTCTTCTACTGTAGCATTAACTTTTTTTCCCCTGAAATTTCTCCTACTTCTGTCGTCCACCACCTCTGCTTCCTCTCCTTACTGTCTTATACTGCCCAGAGCGCATGCTCTAACGGTCCAATCAAAAGTATTTGAGTGGACCATGGAGACGACATGAGTGGCGGTGGGGGGGAGGTGGAAGAACCAGTGCTGGATTCCAGGTAAGTTTTAAGCTAAACTAATATGTAGTGGAACCTACGATATAGTGCCGAATAGGGCTCTATGAAGGAGGTGGGGGAATCTTTGTGCAAAAGGGTTGGAGTAACCCTTTAGTTAACTTAACTGCTATTAATAGCAAAGGCAATAACATTCAGAGATGTCCTGAGTGCAACAACATTTTCGATATTTAAAACCTACACGTTTTTGTCTTTATGGTAACCAGAATTGTGCAAAAAGCACAGCAGCTTTTAGTTGGCCAACAATGTAGGTATATCCATATGATAAATACAATTGGGGTAGTGTGAGATCAAATGTGTGTTAAGAAATAACAAGAGGGACACACATAGAAAAACTGGGTAATATGCAGCTCAAAATCAAACATAGGGGACTGCACTTCATTCAAAAGATCCATTTAAATATAATACAAAAGACACAGTTCACCAGATGAAAGACACATGGTTTGATAAAGGTCACATTGTTTGACCAAAACATTGCTTACATGTGAACTGTTCCATTAAAGGATCACTATAGGGTCAGGAAAACAAACATGTATTCATGAACCTATAGTGTTAAAACCCCCATCTAGCTCCCCAGGGCCCCTCATGCCTCTATAAATATAGCAAAATCTTACTGTATTCAAGTCAGAAGCTGTAACTTTGCATGCTGTTTACCAAAAAAAAAGAAAACAAGCAGTCTGTTGACATCATCAGAAGTGGTAGCCTGATCCAATCACAGTGCTTCCCCATAGGAGTGGCTGAGATTGACAAGGAGGCAGATCAGGGGCAGAGCCAGCACAATTCAAACACAGCCCTGGCCAATCATCATCTCCTCATAGAGATGAATTGAATCAATGAATCTCTATGAGGAAAGTTCAGTGTCTGCATGCATAGGGAGGAGACACTGAATGTTTGGATGCATTTTAGGCAGCCATCACCCAGGAAGGATCTCTAACAGCTATCTAAGGAGTGACCAGTGAAGTTATCACTAGGCTGTAATGTAAACACTGCCTTTTCTCTGAAAAGGCAGTGTTTACAGCAAAAAGCCTGAAGGTAATGATTCTACTCACCAGAACAAATTCAATAAGCTGTAGTTGTACTGGTGACTATAGTGTCCCTTTGAAGGGCATAGATCAGAGTGCTTGGACTACTTTCTTTACTGACATCAACTCAAAATCACACAGGGCACATTTAGAGATTTATTTTTAATACGCTAAAAAAAAATGTTAGGGTTGTCACTTATTAAAGTTAACATGTCCAAGAGAAAAAGAAAGACATGCTGCCATTTTATAGGGAATATGATTTAATCAGACAGAGTTTATTATGACACTTCCAAAATGTGATGGATTGGCGAGTTCGTACTAAATTAATTTGTGTTACGTGAGCAGACACCATGTTGTGCTAGCAAATGTATAGATTGACTAAAAAAGTAAAATGCTTACTTGACAATTTTTGTTTGCACAAAGTAATTGCTAGTTGAATGGTGTTTGTTTATTCCACCACCCTCAAAATCATATGTTTCTCTGGGTCATTCAGAGCTTACATAATTTAACCCCATAATACTGTTTGTGTGAGTGCATGTGTACACTGCTATGTAAGTAATGGGTTACAGCACATGCAGTCAGGTAATATTTTGCTCTCAATGTCAGACTGTGCAAGATGTCTGCAGGATCATCAGGAACCGTGCTATTATACTGGACATGGAAATGGATTTTGCCACTACTCCACCGAGGTGTGCTCTAACATATACATTTACTATCAATTTTTAATAGTGTAAGATATTATATGGATAACTTCCTGTTAGGGAATTTGTTATTTGCATAGTTTATACAAGATAGAGGCTCACTGTAAATAAATGACCCATGGTACCTTTTTTTTTTTTTGACTGGCCATATATCGCTGCTACCAAGTGATTATAATTATGATACTTTGGTCATTTCTTAAAGGGGAACCATCACTTGGGAAAATACACTTTTGGGAAAAACATCAACAAACATTTGCTAAAGATAGGTATAAGTATAATAAAAAACAAATTCTCATTGTAAAGGAGCTATAGGGATTAATAAGAGAACAAGAAAGAAAAAAAGTGTTTCTATGGGAGTGGAAGCTATTCACACAGTAATGATTGCCGAACAATTAAAACTTAACCGTTAATAGATATTTTATAAATACATTTTGAAAAATCAAATAATCTGACCAAATGTCCTTGCTGATTAATTAGGTGCATATAAAGACCAAAACACTAAATATTTTAAAAGGTATCGAACAAAATGAAAAATATAGTAAGATATAAAGAGGAAATAGTAATATCCCTCTGTAACTAGTAGTGCTTCCTAAAGGTGAATTATAGTTAAGAGGGGGTTACTAAAAAGCTGTAGCATCTATAATAGTTGCAGTTACAATATGCTAAATAAAAATAGTAACAGTGTTGTATTTGATATTCCAGAAAACACAGAGAGAGACTATTATGTAACAGTTGGTAGTCCTAGCGTGCCTTCAAAGGCACCCAATTTAAATCAAAACTATGCTCCCCACCCTTTAAATTTTGGTACGTTGTAATCAGTCAAAAAGATGTTGGGAACAGGTAAAAAAATTGGTACACTAAAATCACATTTAGATTATATAAATCTTAACAGGGTGTTCCAGTACACATGAAATGGAGTTTAGCTGTGAGAACTGAATTTAACTTATTTCTCATAGTGGAAGAACTTCCAGTGACTGTCAGGAAGACTGCCACTAGAGGTGTATTTATATTTGCAATGTGTTCAACTGCAGGGTTAAAACTCATTGAGTTGAGTTCTTTAAACAGCTGATATCTAGCATCTGCATCCTAATGCATCATACAAATGCCTGTATAACAATAAAGACAGGTACGCTATCACTTCCATAATTACAAACTATTGTGTCCATTGATCATCAGAACACAACAAACTGAGAAAATTGCACCTAAGGAAATATACGCAAGCTTTTGCTAGCAGTTCATTTAGTACACAAAATAAAAAACAACAACAAAAGAAACAATGCAGCATTTTAATCAATATTAATGACTGTACATGTAATGGATGTGCAATCATGCTTCTTAGAGATAAACAAAGCTCTAGATTGATGGCTTAGGCAGTACAATCTTTGCCTAGGGATGCTTATACCTGTATGTATGTGTTAGCTCAGAATAGTAATGGTACGATGGTATATGAAATAGAACAAGCTTCTCTGGTGAAGTATGTCTCAAAAAGAGCATAAAATTTTTTTTAACTTTACGTGTAATTGAGTCTTCCAAAAGTTAAAAGTGAAGCACACTGAACCTGTACTATAGTTAAATATAGATCTAGTTATATAGGCTGAAAACAGAGATGCATGTTTTCAAGTTCAGCATTTAGACTATCATCTTTTTGATCCATAAGAAGAAAAAAAAAAAAACAGTTTGAAGCACTCCCCAATCCTTCAAAGTAGGAACAAATTTCCTTCTCGACTCCTGATCGTCAGTCAGATCTCTTCTTGGATCAAGAAGCTGTTACCATACTAATTAAAAATTATATCCAATCAGGGCCGGTGCAAGCACTTTTGGCGCCCTAGGCGAAAACAAATTTGCTGCCCCATTTGCTTCACCCAATCATGCAGACTAACACACACAGTGACCATGCAAACTGACACACCCGCACTAACCCATGTAGACTGACGCACACAGACTCATATACACACACTGACCCATGCAGACACACACAATGACCCATACAGACAGACACTGACCCAAACACACACATTGACCCATACAGACAGACACTGACACATACAGACAGACACACTGCCCCATACAGACACTGACCTATACAGACACACTGCCCCATACAGACAGACACACTGACCCATACAGACAGACATATTGACCCATTCAGACACTGACCCATACAAACACACTGACCCATACAGACACACACTGACCCATACAGACAGACACACTGACATAAACATACATACATGAAGCACACTAACACACATTCTCTGACATACCTTACCTTCCTTACTGTTCACTCCCTGCGCCTGGCTGCCCTTTCTCTGCACTGTGCACATTATGCTCCTGCCCTCTTCTCTCCACGTCCAGCGGAAGGGGCGGGAGCGAGGATGTGAAGCGCCCGCGCGCTGCCACAATGCGTGCCTGGGGGCTGGGACCTGGCTGAGCGGCATCTGTATGCCGGTGGATCTGTGTTCTACCGGGCGCTAGTGAGCAACAATGTAAGTGCTTCCAAGCGCCCGGTAAAATACCTGGTGTCATACTCAAAAATAATCTAACTTTTCAGGGTCGGCACCCCTCCCTTAAGCAGCGCCCTAGGCGGTCGCCTAGTTTGACTGTAGGGAGCGCCGGCCCTGTATCCAATAATAATGGATACATTTCACAGAGCGTGACCACCCTGGAGGACCAACAATGCCGCAACAATATAAAGATACGGGGCGTACCAGCCGACACAACGGCAGAGGAACTACCCCATTACACCCGGAGGCTGCTGGAATCCATCTTGTCACCCGTAGTGGCCAAGAAAATCACCTTAGCAGGCATATATCGCCTCATCAACACAGCTAACTCCTCTTCCACCATGCCGAGGGATGTTATCATACGCTGCACTTCCATATCTGACAAGGCTCACATAATGGCGGCTCTACGAGGCAAAACGCCGCTGCAGTTCAAAGGCACGCCTGAACTTTTTTCAAGACCTTTCCAAAACATCCCTGCAGTGGCGCAGGTCCCTGGGGCCTGTCACAGCCGGTCCTGAGGGATACCTTATAGATGGGGAACGATGGGATCCCTAGTGGCTACACATAATGGAGCTACACACACACTCCACTCGATGGCCAACTCGCAGACGTTAATAACGGCCCTGGGACTCACACACCCAGATACAGAAGCATCGGCCGGAACCTCCAGCAGCAGCTGGGACCCAGCCACCATTGAACCCTTCGTGCCCAGAGGCCTGAACATACCAGGGACCTAACTACCCAGCCCCCGATCGGGACTTATGCCGACACACCGGCCTTGAGAACTTGGACACATGCCAACCATGGCGACCAAAAAGTTGTTTTGCTCTTTTATGTTTAGTTCCCATTTGTCGTAATGGTTAAGCATGTACACTGAGAGCACACTACCAGACACAGTACAACACACACTGCAGACCAAGACTGACAGATTGAGACCACACACACCTATACCGACCCAGGTGAAACAACCCCCCCCCCGACACCCCCTAGATAAGGGGTATACTATTCAGCAGAGAAAGGGGCCATAAGACAGCTTACACAATACCACATCATTGAAGACTAGCACTGTTAAAAGCCTAGCACCTGATAAAACACTCACGACATGGCACCCCAATCTCACTATGAACGCCTGACCGAACCTGCACTTGCACAACTGTACGGAACGACCCCACATGCCCTGCTACACCACAGCCTGCATAATGGCACTCCAAGCCAGGTCCCTCGGAACACCATTCACTAACACGAATATCCAACTATAGCAAGCTACACCTCGAATGACCTGGAGAGACAATTGCTTGACAATAACATACATAAAATGGTGCGGACAAGCTACCTTACACCACAGGAACCATTGTTACAAAGCCATGAATGATTCCGATGTTAGATGCTGACAACTGTTTATGTCAATTATACATGCACTGCCAAAATAAAGAAAAAAAAAAACATCTATACAGACTCTGGTGGTCTTCAGGCAGAGAATTCCACATCATAATTCTTACTGTAAAAAAAAACCAAAAAAAATAAACCTTAGAATAATTTTCCTTTCTCCAAGTCTAAATTGGTGATGTAGTGTCCTATCTATAGTTCTGTTTATGAATAGATTTCCAGACAATGGTTTATATTGGCCCTATTTTTTTTTAAACTAAACAGATTTATATTTGTTAAAGGGACACTATAGTCACCCAGACCACTTCAGCTCAATGAAGTGGTCTGGGTTCCAGGTCCCTCAGGTTTTAACCCTTCAGATGTAAACATAACAGTTTCAGAGAAACTGCTATGTTTACATTTGGGGTAAAGCGATGCTGGAGGCAATTCGGCACTTCGATTTGATTCAGCACTTCCGAAATTCATGACTTCGGCAATTCGGGACTTCTACAATTCCCTAAGCCTAAACCCTAACACCGAACCCTAACCCTAGTAGTGCTGGCGTTTGATTGCAGGCCTTTGTTTGTGTACAGTATTGGTGTTTAACCCCTTAAGGACGGAGCCAAATGTACACGTTGTGAACAAAACAAAATGTAAACAAAACCTGGCATTTGCGCTACATGTCTGTCCAACCATAATTCACCTCTTTCATAGTAAATGCACCCACCCTTATTATATATAATTTTATTCAGGGGAAACAGGGCTTTCATTTAATATAAAATATTTATCTGTGAAACATAATTTAATATGAAAAAAATGGGAGAAAATAAGATTTTTTTATTTTTTTAGTTCTACATGACATTTTAACTGTCAACGTCATTATACTGTTTGCTGAATACAAATATGTGTATTTTATTGCAGTAAAAGCAAAGTCTCACGTGTAAAACAGTACCCCCTATGTACAGGTTTTATGGCGTCTTGGGAAGTTACAGGGTCAAATATAGCAAGTTACATTTGAAATTGAAATTCACCAGATAGGTTATGTTGCCTTTGAGACTGTATAGTAGCCCAGGAATGAAATTTACACCTATAATGGCATACCATTTGCAATAGTAGACAACCCAAGGTATTGCAAATGGGGTATGTCCAGTCTTTTTTAGTAGCTATTTGGTCACAAACACTGGCCAAAGTTAGCGTTAGTATTTGTTTGTGTGTGAAAAATGCAAAAAACGCCAATTTTGGCCAGTGTTTGTGACTAAGTGGCTACCAAAAAAGACTGGACATACCCTGTTTGCAATACCTTGGGTTGTCTACTATTGCAAATGGTATGCCATCATAGGGGTAATTTTCATTCTTGGGCTACCATAGGGTCTCAAAGGCAACCTAACCAATCTGGCGAATTTTAATGTGAAAAAATGAAACACAAGCCTTATATTTGACGCTGTAACTTTTAAACACACCATAAAACCTGTACATGAGGGGTACTGTTGTACTCTAGAGACTTCGCTGAACACAAATATTTGTGTTTCAAAACAGTAAAAAGTATTGCAGCAATAATATCATCCGTGTAAGTGCTGTTTGTGCGTGAAAAATCTTCACTTTTACTGGCAATATCATCGTTGTAATACATTTTACTGTTTTGAAACACTATTTTTTGTGTTCAGCGGAGTCTCCCGAGTAGAACAGTACCCCCCATGTACAGGTTTTATGGTGTCTTGGAAAGTTATAGGGTTAATTATAGTGCTAGCAAATTAAATTCCCTTTACTTTCGGCGTGGGTTGTCAGGCAGGTCCCGCTAATTGTAATTAATTAAGATACCTAATTATGTAAAAATATTACATATATATATATATATATATATATAATTTAAAAAAAATATTTTTATTTATATATAGGTATATATATATATATTGTGATATATACGTATATATTTATGTATATAGATATATATATTATTTCGTTCTACGTGTATTTTGATATAAATATATATATATATTAATATCACAATACAGTTAGAACGAAATAACACACATCTATATATTTTGTAATTATTTATTTTTAATTATTTTTTTAATTTTATTTTTTAACGTATTTACATTTTTTTATATTATATATAAATATATATATATATAACAATAATTATATATATATTTAATCAGTATCAGTCTACGTGTAATTTGATATTAATATATATATATATAATTATATATATTAATAGTAAAATACACTTAGACAGAGTATGTATATATATATATATTCTAAGTATATAATTTTTTTTTTTTTTTACACTTTATTAATTTAACTTTATTTTATTTCCAGCCAGCAGGGGGACTACCTGTCATTACAGACAGCTCCCCTGCTGGCAATGCAGCAGCCAGCTATCCCGGCCATGTGATTGTGAGGTCCTCGCAAGGACCTCACACTCACATGGCCGGGGGGGCTGCAGGAGGTCGGACGTGCCGCGGGGGGCTCCCTGGGAGTCCCCCCAACCGCGATCGCCAGCGTGGGATTGCTGGCGACCGGGTAAGTAACAAAAAAACGGAGGGCATACTATTACGCCCGGCGGCGTTTAGAGCCGCCTAAAATAGGACATAATAGTACGCCCTCCAGTCTTAAGGGGTTAAACGAAGGGGTGTGTTAATGTGTAATATTGGTGATCGCATTCAAATGTGTATTCACAAATATATATGCACTGCCACACAAACATCCAGGAGCACATTACCATACACAAAAACACACATACAGTGCTACACACATTGGTCACTGATAAATATACACACACACACATACTCTTAGCATAACATAAATAGGAAATACATTGTAAAATAATTAGACATGTTTAACAAAGATTTTATCTTTACTTTTAATAATTCATCAATTAATTTATTGCTTTAAAAGGGCTGCCAATCCTCTCCCACTTTACCGTTGCTGGTCTGGCGAGTTGAAGGGGTTACTTCCGGTAAAGTCGCCATCTTGCTGTCTCTTACCTGTTTTCCCTCGTGGTCCTTGTTCCTTGCTCTTTTTTTGCTCTACTTACCGCTTCTCCCGAGCTTGCTTGGAGACTGGTCTCGATGCGGTTCATTGTCATCCGTAAGTCAGACCCTTACCATCAGGCCTTGGTCGCACTTTTCAGCTTCATCCCGATTTGGGTCTATTTCTATTTCTTATGCATTTGTATAGCTCATAGGCATTTCGGCACTGTTCGTATTACCGCACGTACAATTAGTTTGTTCCCACGGGTACAGGCTTTCGGTTCTTTCAACCGCACGAACGCAAGCAGCGTTTAGCTACTTTCACTATGCTACGTATGCTTAAATCGTTCACCTTGATTCATACGAACCTTCTCGTAATGTGTATTTTGAAACATGCGAACGACTAGGGGAAGGCAGAGATGTTCTTCCTACAGGTGCGTTTGGGAAGAGTAGTCAGAGGAATTGTTCCTGCTTTGACAAATTTTTCCTTTTAGGTTTGTAATTTGGTTTAAGTTTGGCTTATTTAAATAATCCTTCTGACTTTAAAATTAACATCTGAAATTCCTTTAGGTGCTTTTGTCAGACCAGAACTGTAGCATTTACAAGTTTCTTCCATTCGTGCCAGCTTTTGACAATTTCACTCCTTGCATCTAGGTTTGGGGTAGGTTTCTTTATTATTACTCAGGCCCACGATCTGGCCACACTCACATATATCGATATACTCAGATACTTATTACATTTTATCTATAGGTCACAGCACGTATCTACTGTCACCCTCTTTACCCTAATTCTACAAGAATCATATTTTCTAACTATCTCAGGTACGACATTTACAATTACTATACCTTTTTCCTGTTAGCAGATAGTACTGCCTATCAGGGATTTAGGTGTACAAATAGGTTATGTTTTCTGGTCTTAAACCATAGGATAGTGGTCCTGTGAGGCCAACACCCATCCTCATACACAGAGGTAAACATAGTTTTTCGCCTCGCATGGTTGCATAGAGAGGGTCTCACATGTCACTCCCATTTTATCTTATGCTTTAATTATCACAGAAAGGCCAACACCCCTCCACACCGTTCGGTGACCTCAAATCCCCTTGGGTCAATGCATAGTTAGAGCCTCTCATGCCGCTTGGCAACTAGTAGGGCCTCACCTGTCACTGTGGGGTAGTATAATTTAACAGACTACGTTTGACTCACTCATGGTAATTACTGTGTGTATATATATATATATATATATATATATATATTTCAGTATGTCACAAGTTCCTGAATTACCAGAAGAGCTGTCCCTTCCTAGCACCCCCACTAGGTCCTGCATCCCTGCCCACGGAGCTGATGTAACTAGTCCATCTTCACTTAGATTATGGGCTATTCCATGTCTCACAGCAGAGCTCTGTAGAAGATGTATTCCTTTCCCAGCTTCTGACAGGAAAGCGAAGTTATTCAGACTGCTCACAGGGCCGCCATCAGGGGGTGACAACCATAACGGTTGTCACGGGCCCGGCGGGAGGAGCGCGCGCACCGGTGAAGAGGGAGCCGCGCCGACTCCCATCATCCCCAGCCACCCTCCTGCAAAGAAAAGGTAAGAGACAGGAGGGTGGCTGGAAAATGAGCTGTGTGTGTGTGTGTCTGTATGCATGTCTGTCTGTATGTGTATGTATGTCTGTCTGTATGCATGCATGTCTGTGTGTGTCTGTATGTATGTCTGTATGGATGTATGTATGTGTATGCCTGTCTGTATGTTTGTATGTGTATGTCTGTCTGTAGGCATGCATGTATGTCTATGTATGCATGTATGTCTATGTATGTATGTCTGTCTGTATGCATGCATGTCTGTGTGTGTCTGTATGTATGTCTGTGTGTATGTCTATGTTTGTCTGTCTGACTGTATGCATGCATGTCTATGTATGTCTGTATGTATGTATGTGTATGTCTGTATGTCTGTATGCATGCATGTCTATGGATGTATGGATGTCTGTATGCATGTATGTCTGTCT